GAATACTTTTGGACATATAGTGCTGGGATCAGGCCTAAATCCCCCACTAAATGGAACCCAAGCAGCTCTCTCTAATGGGACCGTGGCTAAAGAGAACGAGGCTCCACTACGGAGACTCGATTTTAGTGACATTCTAAAACATTTAACATGGTTTAATGTACTAAAATAACAACCTAGGAACACCAAACCTCTCTCACTGACTACTGGTCGTAAGTTCTGTCTACTGCTGAAAGGACGAACATGTGATACAAAAAGCAAGCAACAGTTTTATGAATTAAAAATATACAATGGGTTTGTTATTAGTTACGGTTACATCTTTTTGGATCACAAGTTCATTCTTTCAGTAGAGAGAACTTAGAGCCAGTAGTAAGTAGAGCGGCAATATGACTATATTTATTGTTACTGTAACAAAATGCATCACAATATGCCACAACTTGCTTTTCTGTACATATCGTGGATATCGCCAGTACTTAAAAAACACAACTGCATGTTTGATTACAAGGACAGCACAACCAGTCCTGTTTAAGTGGACTTAGTGCAGCACAGTGTGCAAAATACTGAATACAAATATCAGAATTCAGTTTTTGATGGTGTTTTTAAGCTGTGGGCTTACTTTGTCTGTTGTAACTTATTAGATGTCAGAAAAAAAATATCGTAACATGTCGTGTATCGTAAAATGCTTCTGTAGTTATATATATATATGCATACCGTGATATGACGTTTTGCCATATCGCCCACCTCTAGTAAGTGGTAAGTGAGAGAGGTTTGGTGGTCCTAGGTTAACTGTTTTAGTACATTAAGCCGTGTTAAGCTTTTTCAGGTTAAGCGTTTTAGAATGTCCCTCGATTTTAGAGAACAGATGTAAGTTATAGCATAAAACATCAAGCACTGGAAATGTTGAGTCTATATTTCAGTAGCAGTTTTATCGATGTCCACCCCACATCTAGACTGACGGAGGCTAAACCTCGTATGAAAGGTCGGTAGTGGCTAAATTAGTTAGGTGTTAAGCCAGTTCGCTCCTGGAAAGGAATGACCACCTTACTGCCGTCTCTGGATTCAAGATATTAAGAGATTTACAGCTGGTTTGACCTCCAAAGAGCTACACCCACAAACCAAAACAAACTGGACTTGGCTCCGCTACGGAAATGAGCACCACAGCTAAGCAAAGACCAGCACTAACGGTAGCAGCGGGCAGTTAGCTAGCTGGCTAACATTAGCACAGAAAAGCGGCACTCTTCCTCTGACACCCATTTATTTCACGAATTTGTGGTGAGGCGAGATGAGAAGCGAGTGAGAAGTGCTTTACCCAGGCACGGTTATGTCCTAAAGACTCGGCGTCGCTGTTTTCTGTGTTAATTTCATTTCATTGTTCGCGATATTTTTCCCTCGGCTTCAGCTCTGAATCTTCCTGGTTGCTGCACCGCCCAACAACGTCTGTACGCGCATCAGCGCGGTCACGGCTGCGCCGGTTTTGCGCAAATATACGGCGTATGGTCATTTAGACTTTTTTAAAAAATATATTGTTTCGCTTTATTTATGTATCTACTTATTTATTTACTCATATACACCGGTCAGCGGTAACATTAAAATCACATCATTGTATCTACACTCTTTGTCCACTTTATCTGACCCACTTACCATATAGGATAATTCTGTAGTTCTACAATTACAGAAAGCGGTCCATCTGTTTCTCTGCGTACTTTTGTTACCCCATTTCACCCTGTTCTTCAATGTTCAGGACCCCCACAGGACCACCACAGAGCAGGTATTATTTGGGTGGTGGATCATTCTCAGCACTGCAGTAACACTGACGTGGTGGTGGCATGTTAGTGTGTGTTGCGCTGGTGCGAGTGGATCAGACACAGCAGTGTCTATGATTGTAGAACTACAAGGTGTTTCTGTATAGTAAGTGGAGCTGATAAAATGGACAATGAGCGTAGCTACAAGGAGGTGGTTTTAATGTTATGGCCGATTGGTGTAGACATGCTCGCTTCCTTCAATATATAATTAATATATAATATTAAAGAATCCCCAAGCACAAAACCTTCTCAAAACTATTTCTCAGGCATCAGGCAGTGTATTCGTAACCATTTCATGTAATAACGTTCTGTGAAGGAACTTTTAGAAGCATTAAATCCTACAGATGTCTGGTTCTTATCACCACTACTTTGAATAATTCTGATGTTTTTCTAGAATTGAGCATTTCACATAAAACCACTCTGAACGACTGTTTGCCTCTTAACCGTTTAATTAGAAAATTTGCAGAAACTTTGAAAAATTGGTGGAATTCTCCTTCAAATGTATAGCTACTTTTGAGCCTTTGAACCTGTATTTATGACTACTAAAATAACAACCAAAAAAACCCTGTTACTTCTGTTACAGTGATTATCAGTTGAGTGTTTCATATTTCAGTATTTGTCAATCAAATGTGTTTTGATAAGTACACTTTTCAATCCTGCATTAAATGTGTCCTTATTTATTTAATGTATGTTATCTTTGATGTAGAGGAAAAGTGTACAATTACTAAAATCTAACACTAATACTACAGACTAAGAAAATACATTATATCAAATCTGTCATGATTGCATAAATAACAGATAAAAAATAACAGTAAAAAATTTATAACGACATGCATAATCACATCTTGAAATAAGATACTTTCCCAGGGGCAATGAAATATTTTACTTCATACATTTCAAAAATACAAACACAAAAAATACAAGTTTCAGTGATTGCTGCTCAGCAGCTAAATTGTGTACAAAAGCGTATGTGAACCATATTCAAAATATACTGCAAAATGAGCTCATTGAAATCATTAAAGATAATGCATACAATACAATTCATTTACACTGCAAAATGACAGACTTGACAAAAGGTAATTAACAGTCTACAGGTAAACAACACAGATGGACCACAAAAGTGTGCCTGTAAACCCAACAATATTTGTAATGAAAATGTTATAGCTGCAAAATACTGTTTTATGTTGATATATTTCCTTTCTGAACCTTATCATACTAAAAGGTACTTTGACTAACACTGAGAAGTGTAAAAACACAGCGTATATATAAAACAGCAAGTCAAACCTGTGCCAGCTAATTTCTCAGAACACAGTGCATAATTCTCAAACAATAAAAAACATATAATCAAACACAAAACTGGTAAAAGAACCCCTTTCAAACTCTCATTACTAATACTTTGTTCAGGAGTAAAACCTTTCTATTCAAAATAAGTCTTCTAAAAAACCCCAAACCAAATCTATCAACCCCAGTGACTGACACTGTATTACCTTTAATTAACACACCAAGAGAAAGGGGCTCATATTAAACACAAAATGTAATTATGCATAACTTATTTTTAAAACAAGTGTGATTAAGACCAAGTACCATTTATTAAGTAAATAATTTCGTTTTTTCTGCATGTTACATTGGCATTTCATCAAAACAATACAATTTATTTTTCCTTTTTGTGGCCTATAAAGGTTCTTTGCAACACAATCTAAAGTCCCAAACCCATCAGGTTAACAAAGGGGTTCATATCACACTATTACAAACATTACATACATACATACATTTAAAATTCTACTTACACATTATTAAAAAAGTGCCAAAATATAGAACTACCCCTTAAAACAAGGGTTACCACAACACCTGCCTCTGGAAAGGGATAAACCTGAGCATTTAAAGGAATGCTCTAAAGTTTTTCAACTTTATCTCTAGGATATAAAACTTATGATAGAAGTCAATGGGCACTGGCTGAACGCTGTCAGTAGTAAATTGTATCACTCATGATACTTATGTTTGACAGGTTGATAAAACTTAATAAAAACAGTTGAATTATTTTCACCTAGAAAATCAAAATCAATCAAACCTTTGCATATGACTGTATATACACACACACACATTACAGGTGCGACAAAATAATGCATTGTGTCGTATCATTAAACATGAACCCAATACAGCTATTGAACAGTACATTAAACAGACCAGAGGAAATAAAGTACTTAGTTTAATACTGATTATTTTCAATGAAGTATAATAAAAATGAAACAAACAAGCCCACAGCAGCATACAGCGGCATCCAGGATAGAACCACCCGGCCAATGAACAGTTTCTACCCACAGGCTGTCAGGCTTCTGAACAAGCTGTGAAGCTATGAGTCCTTCTGCATTACCATTTCACTTTGTCACTTTGTTAGTATTATTTGTTATATCATATCACGGCTACGGACAATATCACTAAATCACTTTAAAATATGTATATATTGTCTCTTCTCAGATTATCCTTTGTTTAATATATGTAGATTAGTAAAGTTTTCTTACATACGTCCCTCTTGTCTCTGTATATTTTCTGTATATTTGTTATATTTCAGTTATTTACTATTTTTTTGTTTTTGCTTTGTTTTGTTTGCACTATTTTAGTATGTATATAATGATGCCCTGCTGTAGAGTGATTACAATGCATAAATGTCCTGATATGTTGTGCAAATGACAAATGAAACCTGAACAATGAGGGCACACCCTCCCTCCTCTGAAAATACTGCTTCCTTTTTAGCTCAGAATTGAGAACAGGGAGGAAAATCACACTCCTCTTATAAGCATATAAACTCACAGCTAGCACATTATATAAAATATTGTACTATTGAAATAAGGATTTTTTGTCACTTCTTATTTTTTTCTGTATCAAAAAAATGAATCAAGACATCACAAATTCATATCGAACCGATTTATGATTTTTGTGAATCGTCACACCACTAATAGTCATGTATTTCAGATGTTTCACGGAATTCAGCAACTGCCCATTGGCTTTTTAGTGACAAAATTTTGAGCCAGCTGGTTTTCAGTTTTTTTTCTAAGTACAAGGACGTGCATTAAAATTGCTGTCGGTGGTAATCAACAGTACAACACAGAAGTGGTAAATAGAGATTAGGTTGAAAAACGATAGCATATTCCTTTAATCTAACATTTCAACTCTGAAAGGATGCAAAACAATAAAATAGGTAGATCATTGCATATACAAATATGGATTGGCTTTGTGCACTACTGCATTCATGGCACCATTTTCCCCATTTCTTTCTGAATGTGCTTGAATAAGATCATGGCTGCCGTTGGTCCAAGGTGGAGAGTCCATGGGCTCTCTTTTGATGGAATGGAGAAGGCTGTGACTCCTGAACTCGTAGCTCAGTTTGTAATCCGGCTGCATGAAGGCTTTGGGTTCTATAGAGCCGTTGGCATATGTGTGGACATCAATACAGTTTCCTTGGTTACAGAGAAGATCAGAATGAGGGACGTCTTTGCTGATGACGGACTTTAGAGCCTTGCTTGGGCCTGCATAGAGATGCTTGTGGTGGCCATTGAGGTTTGGTCTGCCACTTTGGCATGGGCTATAGTGGTTATAGTATTCTCCTTCTGATTTCACCTGGTGTCCCTCATTGAAGGCCATGCTGTAGCGCCAAACCCCGTTATGGGACATGGTGGTGTACCTACTGCAGCCGCTTTCTGAATCAGAGTCTTGCTCTGTTTTAATAGCAGTCTCAGGTAATAACAATCCACTATAACAGTCGTTATGTGCTGTGTACCTGCTCTCATTCTTCCCATGCCCACAGTAACCATCCTTTTCACCATGTCCATAAAGTTTGCCCTGTGACCCCACAGTCGGGGAGCCTGGAGAGCTGCGGAATTTTCCAGATTGCGCGTGCTTGCTTAACTTGCTGGAAAAGTAGCCAGTAGGCCCCATGCGTGCGTCCCATGGACTTTCTGTAGCGTGCACTCTAGAGACCCCCGCGGAGGACAGGCAGAAGTTGAGGGGCTCATCCTGGCCGTAGTAGTTTTCGCTCCTGTACTGGACACTGTCTTTGGCGAGGGTCACACATGAACTGCTCTGGCAGGGGTCTCTGGTAGATGTGGTTGTCCAATTGAGCAGCAGCATGTCCCCGGCATCACACTGGCCATGTGAAATACGGTGCCTCTTCTCACTACAAAGGGAGGGTAAATGTAGATGATATATATGACAAACTCCAAAACAGGGATATTTCTAGTTATTCAAATATACCATTGACAGAGATGGGCAATACCTAGTTATATTTGCTCAAGTACATGTGCTCAAAGGAATAATTCAGTGAAAAATCTAATTTAGCCAACTTTCCCCTATTTCAGATGTAGTCAATCAGCCCATACGTGTGCATTGGAGTCCGAATTTTGCTACTTTAGTTTAGAACTGGAGCTATAAGGCTAACATTGCTCTTGGATCAGATTCCTCCGTATTTATGAAGGTCATTGTTACAAACAGTGATCAGCACTCTGACTCGTTAGGTCAATTTGTGAATAGAGGCACTGTTGTGTAAAGTGACTGCCCACCAGTTTTGTTTCTTTTTGTAGCTCACAGTAAGTCATACTGTGTTCTAAACAACTTCAACAAGTCTGTGTGACCTTAATCTTTAAACTGTTACCCCATTTTTGCCTGAAACGAAATACCCAAAGTAAAGGGAGCGCTGTTTCCATATACTTTGGGCTACAGTCATGATGTTGGTCTCATTTGAAAGGTAACACTCATGTTTTTCCCAATCATCATGTTTAATTCATGTATGAATCACTGACACTGAGTAACAGAGGATAGAATAGAGGAGTTTATTTCTGCCTGACTCATATCTCTAACCTGATCTCTGACTCTTCCCATGCTATCAAGACCACATGTTTTGGATTATGTCTCTGTGGATAGTTGACAGGGCTTTGAAGGTAAGAACCCACAGATTTGCTAACATTTGTTCATTCGGTGTTTATGCTGCAAATGAGATGATCGTTACTGCTGCGAACAACGCATCATAACTTAGTTTGCAAGAATCAAATCCTGAGATTTCACGCTTTCTAACGGTAAACTGCATCACCGTGTTGTTACACGAATTGATACATAAAAATGATGTATAAAAAAACAGAAGTAAATGCTTCAACGTAGCTGTTGGTACCAGTACGGTGATCTAGAAAAGGTTAATGAAGACCTGGATGCGCTTTGAGCGGGTTGAGAAAAGTTTGCAGATGTCAGTGGAACTCAGTACCTAATACTTTTTTTCCTGCTAATTTTGTACTTCTTCTTGTGGTATATTTTGGAAATATACTTTTACTTCTACTTTAGACATTATTTCACCAAAGTAACAGTACTGTGAGTGCAGGTTTAGGCTGCTTTAAACACTGATTGTTGCTGCTACACTGTAAAAAGTGGAACAGGGCAGAAGTGTTTTTGATGTTTGAACTGATGTAAAATTAGAGGTGGGCAAAAATGTAATCTCATGATACTTCAAGATGTTTTCACAATACATGATATGATATTTTTGTCTGAATTTGGAACAGTAGTACCACATAAAAAAATAGTATCAAAAAACTTGAATATGATCATTTGTTTTCAACATTTCACATTCTGCACTGCACTAGATCCAATTAATAGGACTTATTTTACTCCCTTTGTAATCAAACATGCAAATGAAAAGTTTTTAAGACAACATCCATAATGTGCTCAGAAAAGCATATTGTGACGTCATTTATCACTATAATGATAAATATTGTCATTGCACAGCCCTATATAAAATATTGCTTTTGATCATCTAAACTACAATATGCTTTGGATTGTTTCATTCCAATTATTTATTTGAATTAAACAAAAACAGTTACATTTCTTAATAACACAATGGTTTTTTTTGCATTTTTTACAGTGCATTTTTTTTTTTACATAATTTGAAAATGACAATATCGAGCTTTGGATCATTTAAATAATTTGGAAATGGTCAACACTGATTTGGAATAATATCTTGAGATATTAATGTATATTAAAGTTTTTTCCTTCTCCTGTAAAGCTGTTGTTTCTGAAATACATTTATAGTCATGAGGTTTTCTTACAATAGTGACAATTTGGAAGATAAAAAATTATGTGTATTATCTGTATTATCTTAAGTGACAGGACTGCAGAAATTGTGGGGACATGAGCTGCTGACATTGAGGTCCCATTCAACAAAATGGCTATATATAAGCATGGCTGTATGAGGGAATTTCTTTTTAATGACATTTATACAGTGCATGTACTGGATATCTCTTGCAGTGTGATTCCATTAGAGTTTAACAACAAAAACATCTTGTTGTATTTGTTTAAAATCATAAATATTTAAATAGCAGAAGCGGTTACAATGCCCATCACTAATCCAAACCCCAGTGCCTACACTGTGATACAGCGGGGACATCCAGTATTGGTACAGCACAGGTTCAGTTGTCATGACCTGAACATAAGCTACAACCCATATATGTGTTATCACTATAATAGCTGTAATAGCCAAAATTAGACGTTGCAAATATGATATGTTATAAAATAATAATTATGTGAGTGATGTGAAGTGCGAACCTGCTGTTGGAGCCTTTCTGCTTGCTCTTTATCATCATGTTCTTCATCTTGAGCTCAGTGATTGAGGGTAGAACGAGCGGTATGGCCATGCAGAACAGTGCCAGCTGAGGGGGTAGCAGAGCACCAGACTCACTCTTCCGCTTCTGACCCTGCAGGAACTTCAGACTGCCCTGGAACTGCATGCTCTATAACACACACACACACACACACACATCATCTAAACCGCTTATCCTTCTGGGTCACAGTGGGGTGCTGGAGCCTATCCCAGCTGTCATTGGGCGGAAGGCAGGATACACCCTGGACAGGTCTGCTCTATAACAGATTTTCAAAATAATAATATATTTTTAATACCAATATGTATATTTTTTCTACAACAGAAGTATTTTGTTGCTATAACAAAATCTCACTGCAATTTTTTACACAACTTTTTCTAAAATTCTGCATAACTCAATGGTTAAGATAACCAAAGTCTTTCAGAGTGGTTTGATGTGCAATGCTCCATTCTAGAAAAAGTCAAACCTGTTCACAATGGTGGTTCACAGTGGTGGTTCACAGTGGTGGTGATAGGAACACGTCTGAGAGGTTTAATACCTCTAAAAGCTCCTTCACAGAAGGTTATTACATGAAATGGTTAAGAATACATTGCCTGATGTCCAAGACTACTGTTTGTAGATGTTGCTGTGACTGACCAGGAAGCCAGACGTGCTGTCCAGCAGACAGCGAACTCGAACGATGAAGCAGCGAGCGAGGAAAGGAGAGAGTTCAGGAGGAACGCCATCCGGCTCCTGAGCGCTGAACAGACTGCCCACCATAAAGTCCTCACCTACACCACCACACAGGCATACAAATCACAAACAGGCAATAAAGTCATTATGATGTATACACTGCTGTTCAAAAGTTTGCAATCACTTGTCATCCATTTTTGTTCATTTATATGTCGCTGTTGTCTGAAAAAAACCTCATATCTACAAAATGGTAACTTTACAGGAGAAGGAAAAAAACCTTTTAATGTTACTTTTGTGTTTAATGTTACTTTTAATGTAAGTCAGTGGAAGCAGACTTTTTGTCCAAGTAATTTTGGGACATTTTTTAGACCATTCTTCATACACTCTATGTAAAGGACAACAGCTATTTTCAAACTATGTCAAAAACTGAAACACTTAAAAATGGAGATACGAGATTTTTTCTGACAGCAGCAATATACTAATGTATGGTGTATACAGTGTAACACTGCACATCAAAAGTTATGTTTTAAGAGTTGGAAATGAATAATAATACACTGTAATGATCTATTTAGACGAAATGACAATACCACTTTATTTCCTGAAGGTTTGTATCCGTTGGTGCCATTATTTTTTCTTTAAAGGGCTCTTTTTATGGAAAATCACAATTTGTATTGTAGAAATCAAAGCTGCAGTGAGTAAACATTGTTAATTTTTTAAAAATATCTGTGATAACCCAGCTGCAAAACCAGCCCATTTTGAATTTGTTGGTTTTGTGATGTCATATATTTTGTGATGTCAATGCATTTACATTCATTTGTCTCTTCAGTCTACAGCAGTTTAGGCTTACCCATTAATGCTGAAGTTATAAGAAGTATTTCAGCTCAGGCTGCTTTTTTGAATGAGGCACAATACAGAACAGCTAATCAAAACAGAGATCATTTATATATATCCATCTTAAAGGCACAGTAACAAAAACAGTCTGTTTAAGAGAGGTCAGAAAATGGTCAAGAAAAATGAATAATGATTGTTTTTGGTGCATAGAACCATACAAATGTCCTAAGTGGACCTCAGGTAGAGAAAATAAAAGAATAAATGCAAGAAAAATGTAAATGTAAAACAAGTTAAATTGAAGCACTTCACTTAAGATAAGCTATGATGCTGAAACTGCTCAAACACTACGACCCCACAGGAAGAACCACACAGTTAACATCACACACACACAGTTAGAGAGTGTTGTTTCAATCTAGACGTGTTACAGGACTGGATCAGATTCATTCTTTCTTTTCTTCCTTTCTTCCTTTTCTTTCTTTTCTCAGTTACTTTAGAATCATCTACAGCTATGTACATCATTCTGTACACATCTAAAATCTTTTTACAGCTTTCACGATGAGTTTGAATTTTTTTTTAAGTTGCACAGGACTAATATACAAAAATCATTTTATACATTTATCACAACAATTATCAGCTAATTTTTGTTTTATGGGTCATTCTTTCACTGCGGTGGCAAACGGGGTACAAACGTCATACATGATTCATTGTAAAAATGTAGTTTGTTACATTAAACATCAGTAGAACTGTAAACACCACTGACAAAATGACTAAAATCTAAGCTAAAATGACCAATAATAATAAATTACAAAGCATTTATTTCAGTCTTAAAATCACTTAAAGTTTCATGAAAAACACCAATGACATCTTTTTGCGACTCATGAAACTGTCAGTATTTTTGCCAAATTGATTAGATATTTAATGAATGCGTTTACATGCATTTAATAATCCGATAACCGTAGACAATCAGATTTTGGCAGTTACCTGTTCAGTGTGTTTACATGCTCTTGGGCAATCTGATAATAGGAAAACTTCAGGTCTACATGAGTCAGACAGTAATCGGATTTCTGCTTTTCAACCAGCCAATAAACTCACATAATGTTTGTTACATTATGTCACAAACATCAACTCAGCAACATCTTTTTTTTTGATGAGTCACTTAAGAGGAAAATATGAACATACAGTCCTGCTCACCATTATTGGCACCCCTTCCTTTTTTGCATAACCTGTACAATATCTTCAGAAATAAATGTAAATGTACCAAAGTTATATCTTCAGGATTTTTTAATTGGAGGTCCAAAGTAATACAACAAAAAAAACATTGTTTTTCAACTTGCATGTTGCAATTTTAAAGAAGAAACAGAATAAACAGCATGTGCAGCAATAAAGGCACCCCTTGTTAATATTTGGTTGCACACCCTTTGGCTGTGATGACAGCCTCCAAACGTTCCTTGTAGCCATCTATAAGCTTCTTGCACTTCTCAGCTGGTATTTTTTCCCACTCTTCCTTTGCAGTTTGTTCAAGCTCTTGAATGTTTGCAGGATTCTTTTTCCCAATGGCAGATTTCAACTCACCCCAAAGATTTTCAATGGGATTGAGGTCAGGACTCATTGCTGGCCATTTTAAAACAGTCCATTTTTTCCTTTTAAACCATTCCCGTGTACTTTTGGATGTGTGCTTTGGGTCATTGTCTTGCTGGAATACCCATGATCTTCGGCTCAAACCAAGTTTTCTTACACTGGGTAGGACATTTCGCTCTAAAATCTCTTGATAATTCTCTGATTTCATGATTCCTGTGATACGGTCAAGGCCTCCAGTACCAGACGCAGCAAAGCAACCCCACAGCATTATGGATCCTCCACCATGCTTAACTGTTGGTAGGGTGTTCTTTTCCTTATAAGCTTCATTGCGCTGTCTGTAAACAAACTGTTGCTTTGCATTGCCAAAAAGCTCTATTTTTGTTTCATCTGTCCACAAAACATTGTCCCAGAATGATTGTGGTTTGTCAAGGTACTCTTTGGCAAAGATCAGTCGTTCCTTTTTATGTCTTTTCTTTAGCAATGGTTTCTTCCTTGGCCTTCGCCCATAAAGCTCTGCATGGTTTAGTGTGCGGCGTATGGTACTTGTTGAAACCATGACCCCAGACTGTTCCAGGTTGGCCTTCAGTTCTTTGGATGTTTGCCTTGGTGTTTTTTCCACCATTCGCACCAACCTTCGAAGACTTCTCTTGTCAATTTTCCTCTTTCCCCCACGTCCAGGGAGGTTCTTGACAGTTCCATGCTTGGCAAACTTCTTAATAACATTGCGCACTGTTGAAACTGGGATACCAAGGTCTTTGGAGATGGCCTTATACCCTTTGGAAGTCTTGTGTTTGCTAATAATAGCACTTCTGATGTCCTCAGACAGCTCCTTTGTCTTCACCATTGTAACAAATGAACATGGCCCAACGTATGGCTTTTTAAAACCCTGAAGTCATCATTCATTGGCTAATTCATGTCACATGGGCACTGAATTTGTCACAGGTGATTATCATTTGCGATTTACCACAGGTGAGTGAAAATTTGTTTCCATATTAAATTAATGTAAAGGGTGCCAATACCAGTGTCACAGCAAGCTTTAGGTTTTTTCTGTTTTTCCCTCACATTGTTTTTTGTTTTAAATTGTTGTTTATAGTTTGCTCTTTTGTTTTAAATATGAGTGCTCTATACAAAAAACTGTTTCAGTTGATTAATTTTTTCAGGGGATATTCCACAATATGTACTTAAACTTCATGGGTGCCAATAATGATGAGCAGGACTGTACATCATCTAGAAGATGAAGAATATTTAAATCCTTCGTTTCATGCATGAAGTTGGTTTCAATATCGCTCAAAAAGTGTTACGTTGCCGTCTTGCGGGTGCTTCGTTACACTGTTTGCTACTTCTGGTACAGCAGTCTCTTTTCTAACATGCACAGACTGAGAAAGCTGAGAGAAATCAGAGTAAGAGTATACATGCGCTGAGAAATCCAATTACTGAGCTAAAATCCAGCTTTTTCTTAATCGGATTTCTAGGCCTTACTCCCATCTAAGATATCGGAGTATGCTGTTTACGTGACCACTTGAATAATCAGATAACTCTGGTTATAATTGGATTACTAAGTGCATGTAAACACACTCAGTGTCAGAGTTGTTCTTTCCTCCTTTTAGATATCCAAACAAGATGTGAGTCAACAAGGCCTTCCTCATTTTTTAATTGACATTTTATGTTTCTTGGGACAAGATTTATTCTAAAAATAAAACATGCCTAAATAAGTCATGACTAATAATCTCTAAAATAAAAACTCAAAAAGAAGAATTGTCATCGTTTTTTGTTGGTTAATTTAGGAAGAACAATTAATATACAGGCATAAACTTTCTGTGCTTTATTCTTATATGAGCTCATTTTCATGGCTTCAAATTTGTGGGATACCATTTGCCACTGCAATGGTTGAATGACCCTTATATCACTGACACTGATTCCAAACGTTTGAATAAGATTCCACATTTTTGAACAGTAATGTATACTTACTCTGTTTACTCATCATTTAACATGCAGAAATTTTTGCATGGAATTTAACATCACGTTTACGACAAAACTTATGAAAATTACTGGATATACTGTACAAATCCAGCCAAACATCATTTCTAATCAATTTTTGTCACAGAAGATAATTATTTTGTAACAGTCTAAAAAGCACTAGTAGAAGCTTCAAGCCCTCTCCCTCCCTCTCCCCTAGTAGTGTATGTTGCTGTGTTGCAAGTAATTATACACACACCAGTTGCTGTTGCAGCGTGGTGGTCCTGCTGGGTGGGATTCATGGCCCAGTGGAGCTGTCTTCTAAACTCCTGCCTCTCGTCCACATGAATATAATCAAAGACGTTCTGGTGCAGCACATCCGTCTGCCGCAGAGAGGATAAAACACACACACATATACACAAATGAGGTTTTAAGCCTGGCCTTGTTTAACTCCCCGTGTCACTGAGCCCTTTGTGTTTGTCCGCTGCAGTGACCTGTCCACTTAACCTCCTCCATGCTCGAGTGAACTGCACACAATGGCCAGCCACTGTAGAGGTATCCGAGTTGACACCGCAAGTGTTGGCAGCAAGAAACCCAAAGAGCAGCTGGCACTGCCTGCTCTGCCCCTGCCCACTAAGGACAGCCATTCTTAAAGTGAAAGTTCAGACAAAAATCAAACTTACACAATTCCCTTCTTACCCCAAACGTGGTCAATCAGTCAAGATAAGTTTGGTGTCTGAAGCTTGCTAGTTGCTACGTAACGGCTAATGTACAATACTGTGCAAAAATCAGAGACGATCCTTTATGTATTTAACTTCCAGTCAAAACAGCCACTAAGTACAATGAATTAATTTTTCAGCATCGAGAACAAAAGCAGAAAACCTATTTAGAAATCAGGATATTTTTCCACATTCCCAAAGCTCAGTCATAGACGTCTGGTTGTATTTTCTGCCTTTCATGATCCAAGTAATCCCAAACACATTTATTGATGTTGAAGTCTGGACTTTGGAGTGCTCATTCCATTGTTCTGAGAACCCCAGCAGCTTCTTTATTTCATTTGCATATTTTCTTCATATGGCCTATTTCCTTTTCTCAGTGAGGGCTTCTTGACAGCTACACATCCTTTTAGACTCACAGTGTTGAGTTGTCCTCTCACCGTGGGAGGATGGACAGAAACACTTCTGGATTGTTTCAGATCTGAAGCAAAAGTGGAGCATGGTTTGCACGGCTGTTAAGAGTCCCATTTTCTCCAGTTTTAGAAACTCCTGTTATTTCACTTATTTTCCTTTGTATTTCCTTATGCAAGTTAATTATATCTAATCTCCTCAGAAAATCTCCTGAAATGAATAAGTTGTATTTAATGGCTGTTGACTGGAAATTCTCTGCACAGTACTGAGGTGTGGAAGCTCATATCACACCAATCAGCATTACAAGTACATGTTTTCATCATCGCACACTTGCCTTTTATGAGGTTTCTGACAGTGTATGACACACTGTTATATATAAAAATTGAGATTACCTAACAATTCAACAGTGCGAGGCAGTAATTTAGTCTCACAGATTTGCATGGTGCAAATAGAGGGGTGTAAGCTTTCTTGACTTGTTAGCTGTTTTTCTCCAAACTATCACTGTAATACAATGTTTGCATTTACTTTGAGAACAAATTTCTGTGAACAAGAGCATTCAATTAAGATCACTACTGGTCTAAAATTTACCCTAGGAACCACTCAAGCATTGTCCATTTCAAATCCATTTTAAACCACAGGGTTTTCTTACTGGCAGACGGAGTAGGTGAATAATTCAAACTGACTCTGGCTGCTATTGACTGCATTCAATTCAATGACTGACTCTCTTAATTGCATCCACTGTCGATTAAGAATCTTCATCCAGAAAAGCTAACAAGGCTACAAATTCATGAAAGCACAATTACTCCAATGGTATATACATTTTGAGATGCATTTTGTTTAATTATTTATCAGTTGTAGCTCAATGACACAAACAAAACTGCAAAAAATGATATCTTGGCAAGTGAAATCATCTTAAACCTATTCAATATATCTAATATTTCTCATTTTGAGATTGTTGTAAGAATATTGATTATTCAACTTATTTCTAGACATTTTTACTTCACTTTATCTAGAGACATTGTGTTATTATTCTACGGCCATGATGTCTGCAAACAAGCAAAATCATCTGCCAAAAGAATAAGACAATTTCTCTAGATAAAATTACTTAAAACAAATAAAAACATCCAGAAATAGGTTGAATAATCTCATTATGGGAAATACTGGATGTATTGACTAAACTTAAGATGTTTTCACAGATGTATTTTTTTGCAGTGAAAGGATTTTTATTGAAAGTACAGATTCTAAACTTTCAATCCATGCCACGTGTTTGTAACTAGAAGAGGAGACCATATTGTGTTTTTGCCACATTGTTGTCATTTGGTCATTTGCCACTGAGACAAAAAAAATATAGAACATAAATTCAATAAAATGTAAGTCATTAAATAACTAAGTAATTAATTCTTTATAATACTGTTCTTATAATAATGATGTAACGTAAATCAAGCATAAAGCAAAATGAAATCTTGTAAAGTTTACACATTTGTCTTGCTAACTGGATCCAACTAGCTTTCATTCCTTAGCCATGTTAGTATTTTTGGATGAAATGTTTCTTTAATGCCAGAGTCTCAGTCTGTCACTTTGAGTTTTCGTGACTTGGTTCCTCCTTGCGCTGGGCCGTGGAGGCGGAGCTTTTTCAGCCTTAGTCTTGTTTGTGTTGCGTGACACTGGCTGTGCTCGCATGAGGACAGACACGACCTTGCGCTGATGATGAGGGAGAGAAAAGAGAAAAACCCTGAAACGGCATACAACCCACACTTGTAATTCCACTGTGCTTTTTTTCAGCTATACCCTCAGTTCATAAAACGACAAAATCCCTCTGAAATATTCAACCTTTCCATTATATCCTGGATCGAAACACGCACCGCTCAGAATTCTTCATCTCACAAAGCCACATTTGCACACCCATTGCACACCACTGACTTCATGGTTTCTGCCAGCCAGCAGATCCAATGGCTCTTGTCAAATTCCCTTTGTTAGAAGAGCTGTTTTAATGCTTGCCAAGAAAACTTGACACTTAGAGCCCTGTAAGACACCCGTAAATTAACCGAGGGTTGAAACGAGGTGACTATTCTTATACTTCTTTTGGTGGGAGAGGCCCGTGGCGTGCTATTACTGACACTGGCCATGGGCCTTTTACAGACAACCACACATTATTTCTGTTTTAATTCCTTTGAGGACTGGGAGGTGTTTTTTCCAGGTCACCAACACATTCTATGCTTTCTTAATTTAGTTTTTTTTATTGGAGGCTTTAGACAGATGTATTGTGCCTTCATCACTTATTTGTCATCAAAATGAAAAGGACAAGTCACGGAATCCACGGTTACTCTGGGTCAGAAGTCACTGTCCCACATGCAATAAGGGAGTAACACACTCTTTATTTTGAGGAAAGAACGTCCAATGCATGATTTATGATGACGAATTATACTTTCATAAAAGTGGCATGAGGTTTCCACACTGTCAGTCTTTATCAGTCCACATTCGAATTCATTCAAACAACTTCTTATGCTAATAAAACAGCTGGTAGTATGGACAAAACATTATATTGTGATTATATTGCTACATAATGTGCTACATAATGTACTCATATTGTGTATAACAGACGTTTGCAATATCAAAACAAAAACTTTGTAACTCTCTCTCTCTCTCTTTATCTATATATATATATATATATATATATATATATATATATATATATATATTATATTATATTTGTACATGTGAACTGAGTGATTTGTCTTAATGACAGGTGGGAGCAGAGGGAGGGGAAATAATACTGAGTATTGATTAATATTCATGGTGACGTATACACTTAAAAAGACGGTTCTTCAAAAGTTATTTAGTGAAGAAAATGGTTCTATATAAAACCATGAACACTCAAAGAACCCATTGTGTGATTAAAGGGTTCTTTGCATAATTAAAGTGTTCTTCAGATTGATGGAGAGTGTGTTTTATATGGTTCTATATAGAACCTATTTGAAAAGGGTTGTATATAGCACCAAAAAAGGTTCTTTCATTGTTAAAGGCATGACATCGTAACAATGCAAAAACCCTTTAATCACACAAAGGGTTCTTTGAGTGTTCATGGTTCTATATAGAACCATTTTATTTACTAAAGAACCCTTGAAGAACCACTATTTTTAAGATTGTAATACAATCACAGATTATGTTTTAGAGGCAGGCAAAAGCCATTATATTTTGATTAAAGATTATGAAGAAACAACAATTTTTTGGTATCATGATGAATTCTGCCAAAATAAAAAGGTCAGTTTTAATTCCAGGTTGACGTTAAGTTGAATGTAAAATAGAAAATTACGCAGAGAATTTAAGAAGGTTTTTATTTTCTTCTATAAAAAAACTATTTATAGATATAGAGACAAGCTTTTGCTTTTTGTTCTGATAGTGACAATGTGTTTATTCATTGTGAAGTGAGAAGATATAGATTTACCTGATGGAAGCCCAGGTAGTCTACGATGGTAGAGGATGTGTAGAATATGACTCCGTCTGTACTCACAACCAGCGCAAACCCTGTCAAAGACTAGAGAAACGGGAAGGACATTACACATCACTCTAAAAGCACCTGTATGAGTTAAATAAATATTAACCCATATCAGTTATTACCCAAAATACGCTGTTTTGCACAGTGTTTGAAATTAATGACTGTCTTTTTTTATGATACATGCAGTTGTTCAATAATCTAGAAGTACTGACCACACCTGTGATATGCTCAGAAAAGAATATAATGGCATAATTTATAATGATAAATACAACACGTTGTTATATTGCCCACCCTGAATCTTAAAGTGATCACGGCGCACAGAAAGCAGCCCTGAGCTAGCATACAATGCCACACAGAGAAATACGGGTTATGGTTTGCACCGTGTTGGTCTTTGGCTTTCATGTGACTCCACCATGCTCTTTGGCCGGCTGTGTCATCGCAGGGTCAACAGAGGTTCTTCCCGCTCGGCTCTGTGACACTGACCTAACACCAGCACGCCACACAGGGATATTTTTAAGCCGTTTTGTGGCAAGGGCAAGGAAATGGAGAAGAAAGAGAGTGAGGGAAGGAAGGACAGATGGACGGAAAAGAATACTTAGGCTACTCTTTCCATCTTACTATTCTAATAATAATTTGACATTATTCTTTCCTCCTGACTGCTAGGCTGACAAAAGCAACTCTTCCAGTCAGAAGTTGAGGAAGCCAACAGAATTCTTTTGTTTTATTATGCTTTTTTTTTATGCTTTTTGTTTTTTTTTTTCCATCTGGAAGGACTGTCCTGAACACGTACAGGGTTGCTGCACAGTTTTTACAATCAAATTAAATGCTTTTTAAAATGTTTTTAAAATCTCTACAGAAGACTGATACCATTTCCACAGCAAAACACCACACAGGAACTCAAATATGGCAGGTATTAATGCTGATTTTATTAAAATTTGTTCAAAGAAATTCAATCAAAAATGGATATATGGTTGGAGAATGCATGATCCTTTCATTGTGCTTGACTTTGTTAACGGTTTTCTAGACCTTCATGAGTGGTCTGTTTCTGACACAGGAACGCTGGATATTTTGGATTGTGGACTTTCCTGAATTAGTTTACTATCCACAATGACATGTTTCAACACATTCTTTAGGCATCATCTTAAAGGATAATACTTCTAAGAATAAAAAAAAATTAAACGTCTTATGTTGTCCGTTGTTCATGACACACTCAGCAAAGATGTAACCACCCCCCAACCACAGACAACACACAATCTCACATTTACAAATCATTGCTGTAAGAAAAACATTAATGGAACCATATTTTTACTAATTTGGACCATTTCTGTAGGTCCATTCATTATAAAATATTAAGACAATGTAAAGTGTAGCTGATGTTTTCAAATGGTGTAAAAATATAAGCACTAGAAAAGATTTTACTGTCAAACGATTAAAATAATCACAATTAATTGCATTATTCTTTGTAGCTAATCCTGATTAACGGTATTTGTTTAGCTAATATGTGACCCTACAGAGACACATGTTCCATTTAAAAAGCAGTGCATTTTGTTACAGCCATATGAGTGGACAAAAAGATTCATTAGAATGTATTTATTACATTTAATAAATCAATAACATTATTTTCATTGTGTGAGCGCAGCATTCACATGAATTGAATATGAAAATCAAATGACTTTTACAGAATGAATGCAGTTTCTAATTTTCATCATTAACGTCCAGTGAGAACAACAGTAGCTGCATGTTGTAGCTCCTCCATGACAGTAGCCTCTCTGTCATACCACTACATTACATTTTGTTTTGAGGGGAACTGTAGCTTTTCCATTTGCTGTTCCTTCTGTAGTTCTTATGTGAGCACTGTTCAATGCAGTCTGCTTAATTACTGTATCAGCGATGTGTAATGCTTGTCAATGTCACTTCAGACACAACGTACTTCGATAATAGTTCGATAAAAGTCACATCATAGCGGTAACTACAAACAACTCTGGTTTAATCAGGAGGATCATCAACGATAATGGAATAGCTCTATTTGAACAAGAGTCATAATAACACAACTTAGGCAGGTGAGTTTTAGAGTGGAACTACAGATGGTCTTATAAGTCAAACTACTAAAAAAGTATTAACAACTGGTAAAAAAAAAAAAAAATTGTGTCAATAATCATTCATTGCTGTAACATGTTATTAACTTTAACACCATTAGTTTTTGTATCACAGTGATGACACATGGCCTCTGGTCTGGAGAGCTGAAAGAATGAGCTATCTTGCATCAGTTCCTAAATGCTTTTGTTTCCTCATTTCTGTCAGGCAATCTTGAATCATTAGGGTCAGCTTGGGGCCATGTGGCCAGCGGCTAACACGCACAATCTTACACATGCACTCTCACCTCAAGCAGAAGATCACTTTCCAGAATGCCGTTTCCGAGGCTGCACTTCCTGGGCTCAGGACTGGAGGCCTCAGTGCTGTGTGCTCTGCTTGGTTTCTCCTGAATAGCTGCATGGAAAGAAAGTGAAGAGAGAAAAGAGGGGTAGAGAAAGAAAAAAGAGAGAGAGAAAGACAGAGATGAGTTCCACGCATGTAGCACACCTGTCCAAATGAGGCTTGTGTGAGAGGTTTACGGTTACATGTGAAGAACAGCAAATTCACCATAGAATCCGCTTCAAACACTCTTAAATATGTTCCTCAATGTACACACAGTCCTGGTATAAAGCTACAGAACAAGAGAAGTCAGATGCACAGAGCAGACCAATTAAACAAGGTAACCAGTGAACAGACCCATTAAAACAGAAAGCCCAAGCAGACAAGAAACTTCAAACGCCAGACTTGCTTGACCTTTAGCTTAATTCGGGCCTGACAATTTAGCTCAAAAACATTTTCTGTCCAAGATCTGAACCGAACATGACCTGACTTACAGTACAAATTTTCTGTCTGACTTTAGTCCAACAAAATACTGTCCAAACTTGACTGTAGCCTGACAAAGTTCTGTCTGCTTCCAACTGTACTGCCACAAAACTCTGAACATGACTGTAATCTGATAAATTTCTGTCCAAATTAGACTGTAGCCTGACAATATTTTGTCTGAACCTGACTGTACACTGACAAAATTCTCTCTGAACTCAACTGTAGCCCAACCAAATTTTGCCTGGACTTGTCTGCAGGCTGACAAAATTCTATCTAAACTCTAACATAACAAAAACTCTGCATTCCTAATAATACCATGTGTTAGAAGAGCTTGTGGCGACAATGCTTATAGTCATCAAATTGTAAAGTCAAAGGTATGAGCTAATTATCTAATTACATTTGGCTATGAGAAACCCATATGTGAAACTTGAAATTAATATGAGCTCAGCAACTCTTTGAGAAATGATGTCTGAACCCATATGAACCCAACCCAACCCAATGTGAATAACTGGATCCGGTTTGAACAAATATTTCAAGCTCTAGCCTGAACATCCCCCCATTCTCAACACCCTCTATCACTCTCCACAGTGCTCTAGACACATCATCACCCATCTCTGCCCTGCCCTGTCTGGCCACAGTGTCAGACCACGCGAGATTCCAGTCCCAGAGCCAGCGGCCTGCTGCCGTGCCGTCCGTCACTTTTTCCCTTTGCTTCTACAGAGATTCGGCTGCTGATGGTTTTCTCAGGGCTTACCGCACCGCCTTCCGTGACCAGTCCACTGAGACAGAAAAATAACTCCAAATGTGCGTGCCTTTGTTGAGTGCAGCGAGTCAAGTGACCTATGTTTGCTTTTGCAGATCAAAACAGCTGAATTCCTTTAGACTGACTCCATGGTAAGCAGTCATGTTAAACTATGGCTTTGTGTGAAACGCTCCTTTAACTCAAAACATTTTTGTTTGTGGGCAATGGCATGAGTCAGGTTAAGGAGAAGGCTCACCGTCAGAAATTTTACATGTTGACTTGCTTTGAGACTTAACACAGGGTGAGACTATGGATGTCTGAACAGTTTCAGGTTATTTACATAGTGTAAATCAAACTACAGCCTAAACCAGGGGTCGTCAATTGGGAGCCCGTGGTCTAGATGAGGTAAGGTATTTCATCGGACTGAATCAAACACTTGAAAAAGTCTGTGAGTATGAGCCAGTGCTGTTTCTGTAGCAGTTCTGTGTTACAGTTTATCCAATTTGAAGCTTTCATGTAAACGAGTTGGCCGAGTCAGCTTATCGGAACAGAGACTGCAGGGCTAGAAATCATAAATATAAAGAAAATATAGCTTTTTAGTATTATTTACCATTTCTGGTCTTACAAAAAATGGTCAATGATGAAAACTGAGTTTTTAAAAATGAATGAACAAAGACACTTTATACAATTACATGCTTCCAACTTTGTGGCAACAGTTTGGTGAAGGCCCTTTCCTACTCCAGCATGGTTTGACTAGTATGTTGTGGAGGAACTCCAGTGGCCTTCACAGAGCCCTGACCTCAAACTCACTGAACACCTTTGGGATGAACAGGAACGTCGATTGTGAATCAGGCCTTCTCATTCAACATCACTGCCTGACCTCACAAACGCTCTTTTGACTAAATGGGCACAAATAACCACAGACACACTCCAAAATCTTGTGGAAAGCCTTCCTAGAAAACTGGATACTGTTATAGACATAAAGGGAGTCCAACTCAGGCCCATGATTTTGGAATGAGATGTCCAGCAAACTCATATAGATGATCAAGTGTCCACATACTTTTGGCAGTATAGTGTAAAATAAACTCAACATGCAAGGTCCAAATGTGTGCTTGTCTATTTTCTGACATCAAAAAGCATAAAATGTTAGGAACAGCTGTTGTTATTAATTTTGTAATGTTAATTTTTTATTTAATTTATTTTTTAAAAGACTTTTTTTCTTTTTATTTCAATATGATTTCCTCTATCCATCTATCTATCTATCTATCTATCTATCTATCTATCTATCTATCTATCTATCTATATATATTTTTTTCTTTTTTTTTCATACAAAACCATTTGCCATACCATTTTAAAATGCTTATTAGATTTTTCTAGAAAGTATTTTCAAAATAAAATAGTTCATTAAAATATTTTTGATGTGTGTTATTTTATTAGTTGCCTGGACAAATATTAATGGTTAAGCAGTAACAACCAGTGTCATCATTGACGTATGTTAGTTTGTTTTTTCAGCAAGACATTTGCTGTAACTCGATTTTTGAATTTTTGAAATTTTAGTTGAATACCCCAACCTTAACTATCATGCTCATTCCCAGTATTAAATTGAAGAAGAAATTCTGGTGGTAAATTTAAATAACAAACAAGGGTTCCAGAAAAATAACATGAAAAAAAAATAACAGGAAAAAAAAATAATTTCCTATGTGTTTAAATCAGATTTAATTCTGTAACATTCCTCCATAAAAGGCTAAAACAAAGAGTTGTGATATTAATAGCAATTAGGTCAGGTCCGTTTTTATAAAGTCCCATCCATTTTTTGTAAATGCTGGTGAATAAAAATATATAATATTTAAAATTAAGCCCTTCCTTTGTTTCAGGAAAAAATCTGTATGACTGCCCCAGATTCGATTGGATTCATATGCATCATGTTTGGGCCCATTTTGTGTTAATAAGTGAATTTTTCAGAATAAACACCTTCCTTTGTGTTTCAAAGCAGGGTTGGCAACATTATGAGCTGTCCAATTTAATCATTTGTTTTCATTTCAGCATGTTCATCATTAACTGCAGTGCAGAATCATCCTAAGAGCCCTGTGGTCACCATGTCTGGAAGCGAGATGAGCAAAACTAAAGATGAGCAAAAATAAATTTTCAGTAGCTGTTCCACTGAGTTGTGCCCTCTACTGGTTGCAGCGCAGAACTGTATCCCTTCTCAGGCCCCCATCCTCCCACCGCTGCCTGCCTTTGCGTGTTCACAGCACACAGATACATTCACCGGTGACTCAGGGGGAAAATCTGGGAAGGAATTTGGCCTGGAGTCAATTCATTAGCTTAGCCCCGCCCTTTCAGCGCCCCCCACACCTAACCCGGAAATCAGCAGAAATGGAAGAGGGAGGGAGAAAAACAGAGAGAGGGAGAGAGAGAGAGACAGAAATAGTGTCAGCTGACAGAAGCTTCACAGTCACGCAAGCCAAGCATCTGTCAACCTGCTTCTTCTCAGTGACGAAGCGCTGGCGTCTGTTCAGACGATTGCGTGCGAGCTAGCATGCCACGTTAACCCATGAAGAAATTCAGTAAAGCAACAGCTATTACAAAATGATGATGACACACAGGAAAACACTTAATGCTCTCTGTACAGGTTAGCAAGACAAAAAATAAAGGCATTTTCATATTATATTGTTCTGGATTTCAACAGTATTAAAAATAAATCCTCTATACATAGACTGCAGATGCTCAGATTTCTAAAAGAAATCTTTACTACATGAAAATAAAATATAGCTTACAGTAAAGATTAAGGTCTGGGGTAGGTTTATGCACAGAATTAAGCTTTCATTTGATTAAATAGTGTTCCAATGATTAATAAAAATGTATGCGTAACACAGCCATTGAGACGTAAACAGTAATTCAGAATGGTTTAATGTAAAATTGCTCATTTCTAAAGACACTTATAGAGTCAGGATTGTTCACAGTGGTGTTGACTGGCACCAGACATCTAAAAACTAATGCTTGTAAAAGCTACATCTCAAAAAACTTTTAAACAAAATGGTTGTAAATGGTTCCTGACACTCAGAACAGTCTTTGATGCTAGTTTTGTGAGGGTTTGGGCCTAAAGCATATTTTTAAAATCCATTCATGGTGGTACATGCAGAGAGTTCTAAGGCAATATAAAACCAAAAGAATATTTTCCGAGATTTACAACTATTTACCATCATCAACATATAAAAACTCAGAAGACACATGTATGATCACTGGTGGACATTGCAACCTCTGGTTCTTATCACCACCACTACAGAGAAATCTGAGCTGCTAAATTTCTCTACAATGAACCATTTCATATCAAACTGCTCGATTTTTCTTCCTCAGTAATTGACAGTTATTTTGAAAAATCTAAACAAAGATATTCAGCGGGATTTCACGGGTGGTGATTCAACTGCATCAGTTTTGAAATGTAAGAATCAACTTTAATAAATTGTAAAAAGATTAAAATAAGTATACACTTTTTTAAGCACAATCAAATTTTGGGCTATTTTTTAAAGAACTGTTATTTTTAAAAATAATATGTAGTATTTTTTGTATTGTTTATATTCCACTTCTGTAAAAACAGTTTCTCCAGTCACATTTGCAAATGAAGTAGGTTTTATTCATAATTGAATTGTTAAGGTCATTAATTTACACTCCTAGAACAGAGTAACAGTCAACACTGTAATCATTTAAATCCTTTTTAATAAGAAATGTAAAATATCCATGTTTCCTTATTTATGAAACTTTGATGCAATTTATAAAAGTGTCACTGTGTGAAGAACATGTTCATAGATTCACATCTGCATTCCATTTTTATTATTTAAATCAAAGTGGA